TGATTAGATATAAAGTAAATAAAAAGATAAATAAATATAAAAAAGTAAAAAAGATAAATAAAAAAAAATATTATATAAGTTTTTTTCTTCATTTACCCCATTCAAGCCGTCTCCAGCCATTATTAGTCTCAAAGTGGGTTCCTCGTTATCGAAAAACACAGAACTTTGAATTGTGTGTTGAATCATATGAGAACAATAATGTCTTTTCTAGCTAGGTGTAATCAGTCTGTTTCTCATTATTTGTTGTGTCGTTTGAAATATGGTGGCTTGATGAAATTGTGCATTAAGTTTCACGGAATTGACAAAGTAATTTCGTCGAGTCAGGTTTCCAAAATATCTGTCCTGGCGTTACGCTTTACAGTGTGGCCTGTCACTTCGAAGGAATTTTCTGAAAATTATAATAATATGACTTTTCCCAGAACATGAAAGTTACACAGCTTTTAGTATTCACAAGTGTGCTACTAGCCCCATCGTTCTAAGTAACTTCCTAAAAGGAGATTATATTAGAAACGTAACTGAGCATTAATCAGTTGTCGCAATCAGCTTATACGAATATTAAAAACCTTCACCGACTCCTGTAAACTTGTATCTCATTTATGTCATGCAACAGTCTACCCAGTGGCTCAACAGTAAGTCTGAAGGCTTATACGCTAAAAACTGGGTTTCAATACTTCTGGTTGACACAGCACAGACAGCCCATTTGTGAAGCTATGCGCTTAACAACAAACATTTTCGCGAATGAAACAACTACCGTACCAACAATGCAACTCAAGTCAATATTTGTAACGTATTTCGCGAGTTCGGCATATTCAAGAATGTTTTAGATCAGTAATTTGTTTTGTCCAGTCACAGAATAAAGAATTGTCATAAACTATGAGTCCTATCTTCATAAAATGGTCTCCACATTCCCCGGATTTGTCAGCAGCAGACTTCCCTCTGTGGGGTTACTTAAAGGACGGAGTGTATATCAACAAGCAACTACAGGATTTGAAATATAGCATATAGAGAGAAATTAATGGTCTTACTCGTGAATCTTTGACCTCTATTGTGGAAGATGTCATTCTTAGAGCAAGCCTGTGTGTAGCACTTCGTGGTAGACACCTACCGGACATTATTTTTCATACTTAATTGTTACAAGAAATCTTACTGAGTTAAAATGTCATCAATAATAAACACAAATTATCCCAACAAATGTTGTTGTCGATTATGGCAGTTTTCAATCCTTACACTTCTTTTGGCGGCCTCTGTATTTTGGTATTTGGTATTTTCAATTTGAACAGCAATTTGTGTGACACGTGGGTTAATGCCGGGTCGATGACGGTTGTTTAAACTTTTTAGATGTTTCTGTAAAAGGAGAAAGGTGCTTTCTGTCTACTTCTGTATATAGGAAGTCATTCTCAGTTGCCATGCCGTCGCATGTGGGATCGTGTCATCCATGGTCACAAAAAATATCCTCATTTTCCTCTTTTGTTTATAGGGCTATTAATGTTTCGTCATATGATGAGGCTTTGATGTTAGAATTAACGTATTTAAAACAGGTAGCGATTGATAGAGGGTATCAACCTTAAATCATAGACGGGACGTACAGTAAATATTGTAACAAACTTCAAATTTCTGGTTATACTAAACTGCAGATAACAAAAAAATGGAAAGTAGAGAAAGAATATGTTTCACCATGGTCAATAAAAATAGGTAATGTATTTAGGTGAAATATGAATTTCCAAGTAACATTTACTCCTCAATTAGCCCCCACCCCCACCCCTCAGTGGCACAGCGGTATGTCTGCGGACTTACAACGCTAGAAACCGGGTTTCGATACCCGTAGTGGGCAGAGCACAGATAGCCCATTGTGTAGCTTTGTGCTTAACTTCAAACAAACAATACTCCTCAATTAAAATTAAGTGATATAATTAATGGCTTGAAAGATAAAATTGAATTAAGGGATAAATGTGGTATATATATAAACTTTCATGTATTTGTGATCTAAGTTATATTGGACAGACAAGTAGGAACTTAAAATTCAGAGTAAAAGAACATCAAAATGCGGTGGATAAATTAAAAACGGATGAATCGGCTTTAGCAGAACATATGGCGAATTCTACACGTTATAGACTTAAATAATGTAAAAATACTTAAAGAGGTAACGGAAAAAAGATGAACTAAACATAAGAGAATCCTTAGAAATTGTTAAAACAAAATAACTATAGATTTAGGCCCAGGAGCCACAGAAGTAAACTTTTGGAAATCGTTGTTGTAAATGGCGCCACTGTAAAAACATGCTAATTATACACTTACATTAGGTTTATAAGAAACTTCATGTGTACTTAGTGGTTTATTCTCCTGAAGATGGTGGAATTATTTCTACTGAAACATGTAGAGTTTTTAAAGTTTCTTTTAACTTATATTTTTTAAACTTTACAAATAAATTACTGTCTCGTTTTACGTATTGAATATTAATAATTAACGAAAGTAGCCACACGGTAAAGTGAACGTTTCAGTTTAAACTTACATGTCTGCCATGAATCCAAGGATGATGACACCCACTGAAGTGCCAGCCCAAAACACTGTGTATGAAAAGTAAGTCTTCCAGGCATCATCACAGACCCAGTTCCACTGAAATTTAGCAAGGATTTATTTAATTCTAATAAAATTTGGGAGAGATTTTGATAAGTAACATCATAATTTTTTCTCTATTTTATTTTAGAAAAGAAACAAATGCCCGTTTACATTACAACTGCGTGTTTGCCAGCAACATAAACTAATGAAAACAAATATCATCAGCTAAAAATAACGTAATGTGAAGTTGAAGAAGTTAGTGAAAAAATAAAACTTACCAGATGTTTAATCAAATAATCTCTACTGAAGAATGTATTTTGGCGAAATTTTCATATATCACCAAACACAATATACTGTCAAAACTTTTTACGACTGTGGTTTAATAGTTAGATTAAGCGAAGTACATTCAACGTATCGCATTTGTTTACCTACGATAATAAGGATCAAATCAACATCCTCACTAAATATGTTACAAAATAACAAGAAACAGTAAAATTACTTCCATTTCAGTTTATTTACACTGTCTTAACTAGTTAGAGTAACAACATCAAACATCTGTTGATAGAAAGTCATTTTCTGTTGAAGTACCACCACACAATACATCGTGTTACCTATGGACACAAAAAACTATCCGCCTTTTCCACATTTATTCTTAGAGCCTTAAAAATATGCACTTATAATTGTGATGTGGAAGCAGAGTTAAGTTTCTTAAAACATGTGGCCAGAAATAGAAGATATAACCCCGAAATTATTGATAGATTGCATCATAAACATATCAATAAATTAAGAATGTTAGCATGTACAAGGTTTATCTACAAAAATAGGTAATATAATAAAAAATACATAAAATGTAGTGTAACATTCTCTCCGTGTTGTAAATTAAATAGTCTCACGAGTACAAAAGATAGAATAGAAGAAATTGATAAATGTGGGATTTAGAAAATTTCTAGTACCTGTGGTGAGTTTATATTTCCCAAACATGTAGAAATTTATACTAGAATTTCTGATGTTTTTTAGCTTATATAAAATAAAGAAGAAACAAATCGACTTTTCAATACTCTTATGACCTTCGCTGTACTTTATTTAGTATTCTATAAAAGGTTTGGGTGAAATATACCAAGCCGTTTTTGTTGTAGGCTGGCAAGAGAATAATATAGTAATAAGAATTACACACGGACTGTTTAGAGCTGATTTTCTTTTCGTTGTAAGCCTAACATGCGTGCTTTGTTTAAGCAGTCAATAGAAAATGCTTTACAGTGTTGTTTGAACTGAAACTTTACTATTTAAGGTGCTTTTGGTTCGAACGTTCTGTTATGGTTTTGTGCAATTCTGTGTGATCCCTATTATGAACACTATCGTGGTTCATGATGATATGTAGAGTTGTTTTTGTATTGTATTCTTATATCCTATTTTACTGTGGGTTTTGGTTTACTCACCATTATTAAGGTTCATACTATTAGATATGTTTTAATTCGGTTGTTTAAATACTACTTTCTAATATTACATGATTTTCCAAAAGGTTGCTTCTTTTCAATTGTTACTTAGTTTAGTTATGTGAATTTTGTGTTGGTTTTATGTGTGTGTGTATATACATACATACTGTTTTTTGGATTCTATCGGATTTGCATATTCATATACTTTGTACTTTTACTAAAGGTGTGCCTGCTATATATGTATGTATATACTAGGTCTTCAAGAAATTTATGTCGCTTTTTTTTTAGATGAAAAAACCCGAACAACTTATATTAAATGAAATAGTCTCCATTCTTATCGCTGATGCTTTTCCATCTTACAATCAGGTTGTTAATGCCCTGATTAAAGAAATCACTTGGCTTTGAAGCAAAAAACATGGCGATGTTCTCTTTAACACGTCCATATTTGCATACGTTTTTCCCAATATGATGGTGCTGCAGTGAACGAAAAAGATGGTAATCTGATGGTGCCATATCTGGAGAATATGATGGATGGGTGAGAACTTTCCAACCCAACACCATAATCTTGTGTTGCGTCAAACGTGCCACATGTGG